CGCCGCGGCGGCAGGGCCGGGCCTGGCCGGGGGAGGAGCCGGCGCCCGCTAGTGGCGGCCTGCGGGGCGCTGTGGGGGCCTGGCGCCCTCCTTGTACAAGGGCACGAGCGCGGCCCTGTGGGGAAGAAGCGCCCCCCGAGCCTGAGCGGCCGCTTCTGCACCCCCCCGCTGGTGTGTGGACAGGCCCCAGCGCGCTGCGGTGCGAGGGGGGCAGAAACCGGCCCCGGACGTGTCACGGGTCTTCCAGCCCCGACTTCGTAGCCGGTCGGCTTTGGGGTTTTTTTAGAGGTGGATACTCATTTTTCTTGTCGGAGCGTCACGTTGCACGTGTGGCTGGTGTCAGTTCATGGCCCGGTTCAGGGCGCGCTGTTTGGTTTGCACGTGTGGCTGCTCTGAGTGCGCTCTGCTCCCTCCAAACCCCCATGGCAGGCAGCGGGGTCCCCCGGTACCTCGCCATCCTTTCATGGAGAGCACGATGTGGTTCACAAGATAACTCCCGAGATCTCAGCTCGAAACCCAATCGTGGTCGGTCCAAGTTGTTTGCGATGGATGATCTGCTCTGCCGTCCTCTCGGCCGAAAAAGAAAAAAAAGAAAGGAAACACAGAGCTGGCATTTTCCAAGGGGGCCTGGTGTCCATCCAGGGGTCCCTTGAGTCGAAACGGGTGGAGTTTGTTGCCACCAGATGTGGTAGGAGCTGACACTTGAGCCGGATCCAAGAAAGAGAATTTAACCAAAAAAAAAAAATTTCACATGCTAGCTGATGGGTTTTTTTCTCATGGGTTTGGCCTACAGATTGAAACAACACTTTTCTGTAGGTATGAATGAACCATTAAGTTCATTAACCATCAGTGAACCCCAGGGCCACCTTCTTGGCCACTTATTTCTTTGGCCATGTTTTTTAGTGGGGTAATGCTCAGTTTGGTGCTTCTGGAGTCAAGGGATCAGATACAAATTTGGGAAATCTTGCCTTTTGATTGTCCTGATCTCTCGTTAAGTAGGCCAGCATGGCTGCCATTTATGGACTGTAGCTCTCTGAATGGAAACATTCAGGTCATGTTTAGTAATTAAAACTCCTTCCATATGTGCCTAATGACATTTCCTGAGCAAATCAAAAGTTCTAATTTAATTTAGCTTGTTTAGTTGGCAGCCTACAGCACACATTTTTTGCAACGGGAAAGAAAGACTTCCTTTATATAGAGGGCAAAAATATCTATTAAAATGCACTATGCATAATATATTAACTTATTTGTGTGTCTGCGATTTAGAGCTGTGAGCATTTTTTCACTTTTCCCATGCAGATACTTATTTACCCCAGAGTAATGCTTTGGGATAGATACAAAGCCCTGAAGACCAGTACATCCTAAAGAATGGCCAGTGCAACCTTCAATGCTGGTGCATAATACTCTGATATACCAAGAGGCTTTATTTTCAGTTATTTCTCCTTTCTTTTCCTTCCATGTACATCCCCTGCCATTTTGGCTCTGCTAACAAGACTTTGAATTTTGAATTAGCTGGCAAAATGTTTTTGCTGGTCTCATGTTTTGGATTGCGTTCGCATGAAAATTGTAAATGAAACTTTGCATGAAGTTAACTTCAAAAATCAAGCAGAGAAACTTTTAGCTGAGTGCTTCAACGTGCCGCTAGAGGGTAGCAGAGGTCCATGGAAAGCCTCTGAGAGGCTTGGAGTTGATTCCTTGGGTTAATGAGAATGGAGTGACTTGATACCTTATCATTACTCTTTGCAATCTGGCAAATTCTCTGTTTTCTAGCACGGCAAAGAACCAACATTTCTCTCTCCTGCTTACCACAGTCATTTGAGGG